ATGATGTAGAACCAGTACGTGACCCCCACCTGATAACTGCTACTGCTAGGCAAGTGTTGACTGACTGGTAACTGTCGGAGGCTCGACTCTTCTTAAGCTACATAAATATTCGAGCAAAATGTACTAAGTACTAAGCTCAAATAAAAACTTGATTCTTATTATTAATAAATCTTACTCGGTTCTCTCGCTCGATTAAAATATCATTTAATCTGGATTTAGATGCTTTGAGCTGTTCTGAAAAGATTTGCTGACTTTAAGGCATTCTAGAGTTCTCTGAAATATTTCTAAGCCTGGACTGCTTGTCTGATTTATCTGATCTAACTTATCTGACTGATCTGATCTTCTTTATCTGACTGGGTGCAACTCGACTTAATCGTGGTCCGGGTGCATACGCACGGACACGACATCAGTCGACGCACAACTTTCTATCCGGATCTAGAGTTCATCCGGACTGACCGAAAAAGGCCAAACTAGGGTTCTCTTCTCAACCGGCTATCTATCTCGGTTCAAGTCAAAAACTCAAACTTTAAGTTCAACTCGATTTCTAGTAATTTCAGTTAAATCTCAACCGGATAAATCTAGGGTTTTCACTAAAGCAACTAAAATCTCGAATTTATAGGCATGCCAAACAACCTCTAAAAATCACGAAATTTAAACCACGACATATTCATCATTTATAGGATTTTTCGTGAAAGTTTCATCGAATTCCGAGGTCTTTTCATATTTATCAAAAACCGGGCATTTTAGCTACATATTCAAAAATCCAGTTAACATACTAAACGAGCACCAAAAATTACGAAATTAAAACCTAGGCCTCAAGTCAGCTATACGAATTTTATCATATTTTTTCGACATTTTTAACGCGCTTATCGAAAATATCAATTTACTCGCTTTAAGCTCGTGTATACCGATCCAACTCAAATCCACATCTCAATTAATTTTTAGCTCGTTTTTATCATCAATTTATCCCATATCTTCAAGTCTTTAGATATTATACCTCACGAGATCGGAAAAGAGCAGTCGTAGAAAATGGAAGAAAAACGGAGCAACAAGCCGGTCGGGTCGATGTGTTGACCGGGTCAAAGAAACAGCAGCCGGGTCAAAGAAACACAGCAGATCTGGACGGGGCGAACTGAGGGGCTGGCGCGGGTCTGGGAAATTGGGTTTTTGGAGCTGCTGGGTTGGGTCTTAGGTCTGCTGGGTCGGAGTTCGGGTCGCTGGGCTCGATTTGAGAGCTCGCCGGTGGGACTTAGAAGGGCTGCTCGGTTCTGGTTCGCTGGCGGCGTCGTGGAGGCGAGGCGGCGGAGCTGAACCCGAGCTGCGGAACGGGTCGCGGGTCGCCGGATCTGGGAGGTGGGCTGCGGGTTTGAGCTGAGGTGGAGGAAATCGGCGCTGCGGGTCTGTTCTGGCCGTGGGGAGCTCGCCGAGAATGGTCGCGGGCTTGCTGTCAGCTCGCCGGAGATGGTGCTCGCAAGGAGGAGCTGGGGTCGCGCGCTGGAGCTGAGCTGGGGGGGGCGACGAAACTGGAAGCTCGCCGGAGGGTCGCGA